TCAATCTGAAGAACGTTGATTAGTTATATGTTGACATGATTTTAAATTATTAACAAGACGCATTTATGTAACATAATGAATTTCTCTTCATTTTGTTTTACCTTGTTCATTATTGTTTAATAATAAAATTTTCTTCAGAAATATTTTTTTATTTCATAAATATTTTTTGATAATACATGAAAATAACGTAATGTTACAATATTTATCAGGTCAATCACATATATACATAATTAATTTACGGATGTTGACCTTTAACAAATCAATCTTGTGCTAATAGATTATATTCACATAAACATTTTTTCCAATCAGATCAAAGTAAAAATCGACGTCATTCAGATCTATAATCGAGTACTTTTTTCATCTATGAGAATAAAAAGAAAAAAATATTAAATTGACTGTTTTTCCAATCTATTCACAAATCATGTTATAAGATATTGTCTACCTAGCAAAGTCAGTGTAGATCTCGATATCGAAGGAAGAATATCCCTGGATTATGATATGGGGCTGTTGCTTAGTGATAAATTGATTAGCTTGATATTTTCCCTACCATTAATACAAGCTGCACCTCTGGACGAGACGCCAGTCCTGACGCCGAGTTCTTGCACTCAATCGTTGAGACTCGTTGTAGATGTCGACGAACCATATACTACTCATCTCGTTCAACCTGATCGAAAATCTTTGGTTAACCACGTCTCTTTTACTTAATGTTTTTTGTTCTAGACACCACGACTTCGCGTTATCGTAAGCGCTCTTAAACTCCCTCTACCAACCACATTGGCTATTGTCGGTTAGGTTTCAAGTTTGATCATTTATTAAAGATGGTACCAGAAAAAAAGCGATTAGATAGAGAAGACTTAATTAATTGGAACAAGTGTGACATCATCTGATAGAATATATAGTGACAGAGTAAAATTGACTGTTTTAAGTTGAAATCGATCTCTTCGAGACTGAATATATTTATTTAATAGACCAATTATAATAAACTGATAACTTGAAGATTTCTCAAGTTAGATCTGAAAATGAAACTAATATAAAAGTGTTTGAAAAATGATAAGAATAGTATAGAGGTAGCGCCTCTCTTGTTTTCGAAGGAGGAGCGGAAGGTGATGCATCCAATACGTGTCTCATATTTGCCAGAATAGAAATCACTAGTATAGTAGCTAATCGTGGAAGTAGAACATTTATTTTTCTTTTATACTGGTAAGGGTAGTGGAGAGTGCTCATACTCTATTGACATCGTGTATTTTTGATTACACGATGCAACTATTCAAGGAGCCACCTTTGACTGCCTCTGAAAACAAGAGGGATGCTAGTCTTCTGACAAGCTGCTACTAGGATGGTAGGATATCATATCTCTATGCTTCATTTAGTAGAAACGAACACGAAATTGAAATATTGATGTACGAACGATACCAGAGAACGTTACAGAACGGTTTTCTTCGTCCTGCCATGCGTTCCACACGGCAAAGAACCCTTCTACCTTCGGCCTGCAGGACTCGAATATTATTCTTGAGGAGCAACATCCTAGAAGAAGATTATTCTGTTGATGCATGTGCAGAACAAGTGTAGAAGGAAAAAAGGTTATCTGCAGGACACCTGTCCTATGAGTTTCTCTTAATGGTTGACAATTGAATTACATAATAGATATACGATTAAAGAGAGGAAGTCTTTTTCTACAACACATCATGTTTTCTAAGGTTAAAATTTGTAGTCGTCTTTTATCTATTAAGAAGAAGGAATTTGTCCGAATAATTGTGGATATGCTTGAAAAACATAATTTACATGATGCTTTGTATATTGTTTATAAAAAAATGTTGATAAATCTGTTAATGATTGTTGATTAACTGGTTTAAAAAGTGTCATTATTGATCTAGATGATGTGTTGTGAATTAGTTGTTAATGTTGTTCTACCAGTTGGTGATAAAATCATTTGTTGATTTAATAAATATTTCTAAACAAATTCTAATGCATATAAACAATAATTAACAAGATTTGATTTGATCTAATTGTTTATCTGGTGTTAATGATAAATGTAAATATTGTTGACGTTGATTATGACGTAGCTTAAGCATAAATGAAAGATAAAGAGTAAATAATCTTAATAAGATAAATTGTATTTTATGTTGTGATGTAGGTTTAATTAAATCATTGATTTTATTGTTGATTGATATTATTTAAAAATGTCATTTCTATTAATAAACGTTTTAAATATATAATGAAGAAATTGTTGATTATCATTCAAAGATTTTGATGGAAATTCAATTGTTAATATTAATAATAATTGTAAATAAGCTATTGAATAAAAACGATTTAATTCTCTATTATTTAATAAATATTGATCATGATTATCTAAGAATTTGACAACAATTAAATCTTTTAAATCATATAAACGTTGTTCATATATACTAAAATCAATTCATTCATTTATATTTTATTTTATTCTTCAATTTCAATCATTTTATGATGATCATTATGGTGATGGTGTTGATCTTATATTATTATTATTATTATTTTGTTGACCAGCTTGATTTGTTGTTGAACTTGATTGTGATAGATGATCATCATTACCTTGATATAAACAATAATTATGATAATGATCTCATATTGTATATTTGTTGATTGTTGATTAATATTATCTCTATTAACCATAAATTCCATCATTTGATTTATTTCAACATTATTTTCTATTGTTGATCGTGTTTCATCATCATTATCAACATATTCAATTATTTGTTGAATATTTTTTGTTGTGCACTCAAAAAGTGAGTACACTCTAGAATCGGTCATTGTGTACTCAAAAAGTTCCTAGACTCTAGAATCGGTCTGTGTGTCCGGCCGTCCGGCCGTATACACGATAACTTTCGAAAGGAGAGTCCGATCGCGATGAAATTTTCTACACAGTTCAGTCTTAACAATATCGCGGTCGAGAGAAGAAGATGAGAAGGATTGGCCGAGCCCTTCCTGAGTTATTGCAAAAATACTTATTTTCCCCTATACCTTCCCTATGGAAAGATCGACCCATCCCCACTTTCGTAAAAGACTTTCCCTATCATAGTCAACTAAAACCCCAACTATTCGAAACCATTCGACAGAGAATTTCACGAGCTACAAAATGGTATATAAAACATAAAGAAAGAAGAAGGTTGACTCATCTATCACAAAGATAATTAAAGATAACTAGGTTATATTTTTGTCCACGATCTAATTGATCCACAA